TTCACTGACTTTGGATATTCATGGACTGTAAGTTAAATAACACTCCTCTAGCTAATTGGCTTATTCACTAAGCATAGATGAATAACTGATGGGTTCAAAAAGTCACCATTGTCTGAGTCAGTCACCAACTAACTAACTTAGCCATTCAACCAGGGAGAAGTTTTCTTCTCTGAAAGGTGACAAGTAGCTTTGTAATGACTTCTATTATTTTCCCAATAAACTCAGAGTAAATAGGACATTGCAGCTAGAAAAACACAGAAAGAGAAATTAGCTGCTACTGTCATTAAGGATTCAGAAGCTGAAAAAGAACAGTTGGTGCAATGCAGCTGGAGAGGCTTTTCAGAGTAAAGTGATTATTCTCTGGCCATTAATGACTTATTTCTGCTGAAGAAGACCTGCACTCCTCCAAATAACCTGGCTTTGCTGTGAGGAGCATGCTGTCTGCCAGGGCTCGTGAGAGCCATTGCCCCCTTGGCCCTCATGGTGGCCACTGCACTTGTCCCACCTCTTTGCTTCCATGCCACAAGACAAGCAGAGAAATAATTTTAATTCTACAGAGTGAAGCACATGCAGACGTTGCAGGAGTGATTGGTCTTCAACATTAGCCTGACCATTGAATTTGAAGCTGCAGCCTGGGATGTTCAGAGGGGCACATGTCCTCAGCAGCCTTCTAGTACCTAAAGGGTACTACAAAAAATCTGGAGAGAGACTTTTTGCAAGGGCAGGTAGCAACCGGACAAGTGGGAATGATTTTAAACCAAAAAAGGGTAGATTTAGATTGCACATTAGGAAGAAGTTCTTTACTGTGAGGGTGATAAGACACTGGAACAGGCTGCCCAGAGAGACTGTGGATGCCCTGTCCCTGGAAGTGCTCAAGGCCAGGTTGGACGGGGTTTTGAGCAACCTGGTCTACTGGAAGGTCTCCCTGCCCCTGACAGGGGGGTTGGAACTGGATGATCTTCAAAGGTCCCTTCCAACCCAAACCATACCATGATTCTATCAACTAGCAAAAACTAAAGGGTACTGGAAACAGGTCCAGCTGAGAGAGGTCCGGTCAAAGCAGCACTTGAGTGTCGAGTGGCAGCTGCCATAGGGTCGCCCAGAACATCCGGCCACCCACAGGACTGGCAAAATCCCACAGACATGACCCTATAACTCACCCCACCCACACTGCAGTGCTGCTCTGTATGTTAAAGGAAGGCATGGACAGACCTGTTTAAGGAAAAAAAAAGAAAAGGGAAAGCCACAACTAACAAGCACCACTAAATCACCCAGCAGAGCAGCTCCTCCAGAGAGTGGCCTGTTTACAGAGTTGCTTGGTGCCCTGAGAGGGATAGGCAATATTGCAAGCCCAGGAATGGAAATTTCTGAGGAGAACCAAGATAGGTTAACAATGATGCCTGGCAGGCTATGACCTCTTGTACTGCCACCTCCTTTTTGAAACGTAGAGTCTGCTGGGAGAATTTAGGCTTAGAGCTTTAAGCAAAAAAATAAGGAAAACTTTTTCTTCCTGAAGACTTCCTATAAAACCCAAGAAATGCTAAAAGTGTTTTACTGTATTGTTATTCTGTAGATGCCATTTCTGGAAGGGTGACCCAGCGCAGCTGGATCTCAAAACAAAGCCACTCGTGGCTAGCACCACACATTGCCAACTGGCTCCTTCCACTCAAAATAAAATAAAATAGTAATACAAAAAAGGCAAGTGCCCCCATAAAACATTCATCCATCCCAATTTCATAACAGAAGTATTTGTCAGCCCCCATTTTGCTTCCCGTTCTTTGGCTGCCTGCTCTACAAAGCCACCATTTCAGCTGCCTGTGCATACAGACCAGTGGGCACACTGTGGTGCAACAGCTCCTGCATCCTCATCCTCCTGCCCACAGAGGGGATGGCCACCCCTCTCCCCAGACCCTCACCTGCAGCACTAGAGATTATTCAGGGCAAATTTTTATTTTATATATATATATATATATATATATATATATATATATATTTATCAGGTGTTCTGGGGCACCCACCAGAGGTACTCAGCTCCTGTAACAATCACGTGATTTATGTAGAAGTAATTGGGGTTAAACTATCTGCCACATCAAACTCTTCACATTTGGCCCCATCTTTAGGACCTAGAAACATCTGAAATAAATAAGCCATGTGTCATCGAGCAGGGTCTGGGCTTAATTAGGATCATTCTGGATTTTATGGGAGAAATCTTGTACTGCCAGCTTTATGTGGCTAGCCTATCACTTGCAAGGTTATCTGCTGGGGTTTTTTATTTCCCTTCCTATTTCCCCGCAGCTTTTTCTTTTTTTAAAATCCTCCAACCAGCCGGATGACAACCACTCCTTATCTTTGGCTGTCGTCCATGCTAAAATAAGAATGCTGTTGTTACGCCAAGGGAGCTGCACCCTTCCACCTCCGTTCCATCCCAACGTGCACACAGCTGGCTGCACAGGAACGCCCGAGGTGCCATTTTCTGGCCATTTTTCTGTGATGTTGTTGCAATTTACCCTCTAGCCATAATTTGTATTTGGAAATCACACTGGGCCTCTCTTGTGCCACAGATTTTACAGACTTCGAGTGACAGACGGTCTCTGTCCTGAAAAGCTGGTGATACTCAGCCCATCTTCACTGTCACTGCTTCCCTGCCTTGACATAGGCTAGCGGACACGAGGGCGAGCATGCAGCTGAGCGTCGCTCGAGCGGTGCTGGGCGATTTGATTAGCAGCAGAGAATGACTGGATTAGAAGAGGGATAGGATTAGAGATTGATGAATCACTGTGAGGCTGCTACATCGGTAGAATTGGCTTCAGCAGCAGCATTTGAATGTCAAACCGTACCCCCACAGAGCAGTTAGGTCCCACCTATCACTTCAGACTGCTGTGCACAAGGCAGCTGAGGAAGGCAAAGCTTTTGAGTTAGGGTCTGAACAGACAGCCTGGTACAGGTAAGCCCTTGGTGGGTCACAGGCAATGATGATGAGAGGAGAGGCAGGGAAACATGAAATGATTTGCCCAAAGCTACACTGGCAATCTGTGGCAAAGGCAGAAACGGGAGCCAGATTTTCTAAAACAAAAAAAAAAATAAAAATGAGTTCTTCAGGCAGGAGATGAGCCAGCTGCCTTTCTTACATGCAAATGCTTTTTTCCTCTGTAATTCACACCGCTGCAGGCTCTGCACAGCAAACGCCAGCTTCCTGAAGTTGTAGCGTGTTCAGCGCGACCTGCTCTTCACGCATGTCATGCCCGTTACATGACTAGCTCCATCCTCCAGCCTGCACTTGCAATGTGATCCACACGCCTTGCAAAAGCTTATCGCTTCCAGTTGTGGGAGGAAGCAATCAGGTCCCTGCAAAACCCATCACTGGGGTGATTCCTGGTCTGACAGGGATAGCTCTGGCTACTGGAGTGCCTCCAGAATTTTATACATATACAGAAACTCAGCATTGCTCCCAGTTAAATCAAGGGGTTATCCCCTCTTCAAATTTGGCTTCAATCATTTCTGAAGGTGAAAGAAATTTCAGTGTTTCCCTCATAGTCCCACTGGAGCTTATCAGAGAAATGCTATAGAATTCATCAGAGACACGAAGGACAAAATAGCGAGGGGGCATTAATGAAACAGGCTGCTCTGGCAGAGCTGCACAGGCAAACGTGTGGGCTGTCGGCAGCCCCCTGCACTAGTTACTGGAGTTACATCCAATTACCAGGGCCACTTGTCGAAGTGAAAAGGAAGGAAAGGCTCTTCCAAATTTACCTATAAAAAAAAAAAATGGAAGTGTGCTGATTTTCTGCCCAAAACTCCAATCAGTAGCGTATTCATGAGGAAAGCTTTACTTTAAAGGTTAAGTCAATTTGCTAGTGATAAATGGCATGAAAGGTTACCCAGAAAAAAAAAAAAAGAATACTTCCTCATCGAGTTTAAATGGAAAATACCTGAAGAATTAATGGGCAACCAGATACTCTTTTCTCTTTAACAGTACATCTACATTAGACTATGTACAGGCATGTATTTTTTTTGAATCTTGCACTTAAAACATTATTTCTTTAAAGAGATTTCTGATGGAGAACGGCACGTGAGAAAACTAACGTCAACAACGGCCACTAAAACCAATTTTAAACAGGGGAAAGAAGAGAAGGAAATGAGAGTAGCTGCCCTGCAGCACCTCCCGGAGGGATGCAGAACTTGCGGAGCTCGCACCGCACCGAGGCACCCGCCGCCACGCACGCACCGAGCCCGGCGAGGCGATGCCGGCGCCCCACGACAGCCTCCTTCAGGAAAAGCCATTACGGAAGACGCAGGTGACAGCTCATCCTCCAGGCAGCCCTTGCCGAGAAGCCGGGAGACAGCGGGCGGAATTCCTTCTCAACTTCGGAAGGCTAAACCTTCATCCTCACCCTCCTCCTCGTTTCAGACAGGCTACGAGAAGGATCCCAAATCCCCCCATTATCGCCCATCTTGAAACCCACCCTGCGTTTTTAATCTCCTCCTTCCAGAGCGCGGACCCGGGTGCTTAAAGCAGCGGTGACCGGCCGCGTTTTTGTCTCCCGTGGGGCAGAACCCACGAGCCGTGGGGGGCGATGCCCGGCCGCAGCACCAGCCGCTCCTCCCCGCGCACCCACCGGCGTGGTTCCGGGTAAGTTGCGCAGGGAAGAAGAGGAGGAGGAGGAGGAGGAAGGGGATGGGGGTGTCTCTGCCCACGGTCTCGCCCCGTCCCCCACGGTCCGCGCCCCCCCGCCGCAGCCCCACCGCCGGGACAACCCGCACAAAGCCGCCGCCGGGCTCTCGCTGCGCCCGCTCGGCGCCACCAGAAACAATAGTCACGGGCCGAAGCGGGGACGGCGGAACCGCCGCCGCCCTGCCCACGGTACCGCAGAGCCCGGCCGCGGGTGGCAAAGGGGGGGAGGGGGAAAGATTCCCGCAAAACACCGCTGCTCCGGCCAACCTGTCACCGCGCCGCCCGCCCGCCCGCGGCTGTCGGCGCGCAGCCGCCCAGTGGCACCTACCTCCGGTGGAAGGTGCAGCAGCCCCTAGCTGGGCTCCATGGGGCTGCAGCCGCCGCCCGCCTCTGTCAAGCCCGACCGCCGCCGCCGGGGACGCACAGCCCTGCCCTGCCCGGTACCGCGTCCCGCTCCCCCCCGCGCCGGGCGGGGCCGGGCGGGGCGAGGGCAGGGGGGCGGAGCATTACCGCCCCAGGTCACGCCTACCGCCCTTCGCTCCGCCTCCCCGCTGCGCTTCTTCCCCCTCCGATCCTTCCTCTCGCGCCTGCAGGGAGTCGGGATGCGCACTCGCGTCCATGCACGCAGGGGGTAGGGACCGCAGAGGGTCCCGCGTAGCTGCACCAGGCTTTGCGGGAACAACTCTGAAGCCCGGGAGGATGCTGCCGCAGGCGGCACCTTCATCCTTGTTAATCCATCTCAGTGATTCTTTCCTCCCTGATTGCTTGAAGTTTTGACCTTGTCTCCTCTGCCTCTGTCTCAGATTGATCACATTTATAATTTCCTAACTTTTCTTTACTCCCCCTCCCCATTTCCCTTCATTTGAAATTTCCCCCTTTCTTTTCCACCTTCTACCTCCCTTGTCTCCGTTTTCCCACCTGACAGAAGTTCCCAAGCCCCTTTGACCACAGACTCCATGCTTTTAAATGGTTTTGTCGAGGGCAAAAGAGTTTTCCACAGGTTTCAAATCTCTATTAGTGCTGCCCGCAGCTTATTGGAAGGTGCAGCGCGTTAAACTAAATCCCTGGCTAGTGTTACATAACATGCCCTCGAATGCACATAAAAGATGATTGTAATTCCATCTGGATTTCTGTTGATATTAGCAAACCGCTTGAGATTTCCTCTTGAGGTTTAATGGGCTTTTCAAAACCTTCAACTAGTGCTGGATCAAACAGATTACAATTTAAGAAAGGGTAAAGCACACGCACTTATGACATGGTAGAAATTAGTGAAAGAAGGGGAAAAAAAAAAGACTTAGTAGGTCATCTGCCTAATCCATCTTCCAAAAGAGAGTAGGAATGTCCCCCATAGGATAATTTATGGGCATTTGTCTAGTTTTCTTTGAAATGCTCCAGATATGTGGCTTCCTTGCTGCCCATAAGAATTTAGGTCAAGCTGCCTGAGAGCGAATTTTGTAACATCTTGGGATTTAACATCCACTGCTGTTATGCCAAGTTTGGGGATTTGTTTATTTCTTTTTTTCCCAAACAGCACAACGGTGCAGTTGCAGTTGGTCATTTCTTTCTTGCCCATCATTATGGAAAAGTTTTGGCCAACTCTTTTCCCAGGTTGAGAGCCCAGGGACAAGCCCAGCTTGGAAAATGTCAGTTCTGTGCTCAGTATGGCCAAGAGATTGAGTCAAATGTCAGGATTTGTTTGGAGAGCAGTGGAGAGGAAGACGAGTTTTATACTGGTCTGTAAATCCGTGGTGCACCTGCATCCCAAATACTGCTGGAGCTCTGGTCTTACTACCTCGAAAAGGGCATGGTAGAGCTGGACAAAGTTTGGAGGAGGCTAGCAGTGACGGTCTATGGTTTGAAATGTTTCCAGTTACATACGTCAGGCTGGAAGGGGCACCTGAGGGAGGATGTGGCAGAGGTTCCTTTGCTCTTGAGTACCATGGAGGGAGTGAGCAGGAACTGTTGGCCATTAAATGAAGGTAGCAGGCAGCCACTTCATCTGACCGTATGGAGGTGATTCTTTGTGCAAACACAACTGTGCAGCCTGTTGCCATCTGACAGTGGGTACTTGTGTCATTTTGAGGGGAAAATGGATGAACTTACAGAAGAGAAATCCACAGAGGGCAGCCAAATCACAGCTGGCTCAGAAAGGTCCCTCCAACACAAATGGTTCACGGCTGGGCTTGCTCTGTTCCCCCCTTCATTTTTAGCCACCATTTACCTGCCAGCAGTGATTACTCCTCTCAGATTTAATGTCACATCTGGGTTAATTCTGTGCTGCCTGCAGCTTTCCTAATGCCTGTATTGCGTAAAATTGGGTACTGAAAGGGATGAATGGCTTTCTGGAAGGTATCAGGATGATAAGGTGACGGAGTCTTATGAGCAAGCAGAGAGAGAGCTAGGAATGCTGTCAACCAAGTGGGCTGCTTGGGACAGTAGTCAAGATGTGAGGAGGAAACCGTCAATCAAAATCGTTCTGGTTTGGAAGAATTGAGGGTTTAATGCTTCAGGACTGTTATCTGTCACAAGTGCTTGGATTACATTACCACCTTTCAATCAAGAATTGGAGCACATGTTGTCAAATGTATTCATTAAAGCGTGTGTGGACTGCGTGACATTTTGTGTGGAATGCAGTGTGTACAGGTGTGAAATCATGAGCCTGTTGTTTTGCACTCTTGGGAAGGAATGGAGAGGATGATATTGGTGCTGATGTCATAAACTCTGAACAGTGTAAACCTGTAATACAAAATTCAGTTCTTGGAGATGTCTGCTTGTTTCAGTGGGAGAGTGGCAACACTGTACCAGTACACGGTCCATCATGGAAGCTGGAAGTGTCAAAGCCCACTGGATAAACCATCATTATGCATTGAGTCATCAAAAAGAGAGAGTCACTGGCTGCAAACAAGTTTCTCTCAGCCTTCTGAAACATGACAGAAATAATCAAATCTAGCTGTGGCCAGAGAACAGTGACCTTAATTTAAAATCAATCAAAAATCCCTCTGTCAATGGCAGCTGATCACCCATTCACATCTCAGGCTGATGCTTTTCCAGGCCTGCTGTTGTCAGTGCTGTTAGACAAATGGGTAAGCATTATGTGTTTCTGTCTTCTCTCTTCCTCCATGTCTTTCAAATTGAGATAGCATGGCCTCAAACACTTCTCAGTGTTCCTGACAGAGGCATTTTTTTCTGTGCATTAGTTTCTAAAGCTGTACAGGTATGACTCAGCATGGCTGCTTTATCCATGTGGCTTCTCCGGAATTTACCAGTTCAATAGTTTGTATCCACCTGAATCTCAACACAAATTGAAGCACATGGTACTTCCGAATTCCCATATAAGCTTTGTACTAAAGTTGTGTGGATAAGGTAACTATATAGAGAGGATCTGCATGAACTTCATGTGTTGCCTGTGCTAATAAGCATACTGGTGGGCTGTTACTCTTTCCCTTTGTGAAGCATGTAAAACAGCCAGCAGTATCATTCATTTTGACCTATTGATCTTGTGGAAACACTTTGATCACATGACCATATTATGCAGTAGGAAAATTAGTGCTGCTAGGTGTGATTACTAACAGCAACCCAGCTTTAAACTGGAATCACAAATTCTATAGAAGCACCCACACTACGGATGCTGGGTGGGGAGAACTGACAGATGGGTTCACACACAGTATCTGTTGTGAACTTCTGGAGCACAGCAAGAGTGCTCATTGCACTGGGGGCTCTGAGCAGGTGCAGGATTCTTAGCGACAGAAGTCATCTTCAGGTTTTCCTGTAATAATATATAGGCAGTAGGAAGCCCGTGGCAAGTCTGAATTGAGCACTAAGCAGCTTTAAAATTGTTTAAGGCATTATCTATTATGAGGAAGTTTATAAAGCTCCATCTCCATTATTTGAGTTTTCACGAGGTCATAATCCACTTGACCCTCGTGGTTTATTTCATCACTATTGTCCCCCAGAGGAATTATAACCTTTACCATTACCACTTGCTAAATATATCAAGAGGTTTTAGTGATATTATCATAAATCACCAAGCTCAGTTTTGTTGCTTGTAACGTGACAATAGTACCTACTGATTTTTGATGCAGTGATTGTCAACCTGATCTACCTGTATTTTTAAATGACTTTATAATAAGAACATATGCTAACAATATGAACATGTTTTTTTCTTTCTTTTACATTAAAAAAAAATTGCCTTTTTCTGAGGTTGTCTGAACTTCAAGTGCTGGCTTTTTAGGCAACGTTTCTGTGATCAAACATGAAAAATACAAACTCAAGCATATTGAAATCAAGCCCAGTGACTTCAGGTAACCCCATTCTCACAATTGTTTCTCCTTTCAGTTAAATGCATGAGTGTTTATTAGAAATCATATTATAATTTGGTTATCCTGCGCGCAGTTATTGAAAAGACCAAAGATATCTCAGGTAAGCCAGGTTATGTTACTATGTGGCTTTTTAAAAGGGTAAGCCATAGGGAAGCTCATGACGAGTGAGAATTTTGGATAAGAGTAATGCGTTGAATTATGTTGCTTTTTGCACTTCAATCTGTTTTCCAGCAGAATGTGGGTCCCATGTCAAGCCCACAAGAGACAGTAAAGAGAATTTCCCATAGAAAAACCCAAACAAACATGCTACTGAAGCCAATTTGTATTTGAACTAAAGATCAGCTTGGATCAGAAGTTGGCTTCAAAACCATTTTGACAAGACATCCCTTGTAAGACAATAACTAGGATCCAGTCAAGCTGCTTCTGGCTCCAAGAAGGCTTCACTTGTGCTGTAAATCAGGCTTCCTTGCTGGAGCTGCTGGGATCCAAAACTGAGATTCTTTGTAGCAGCACCTGCAAAAGAAGTTTGTCTGTCTGACATAATACTGAATGGCAGGTCTGGATGAGGGTATAGGGGTGTACTTTAGCATCCCCCACCTCCTCACCAACCCACAGGCCTGCATGGCTACAGTGTATTAATTTACACCCCAGCTAGTCACTCTTCAATCTTTATGGTCAGCAGAGAGAAATAGGCACTTCTAGGATGCCATTCATTTGACCTTTCTTAGACATCTACTTTAGGAAGAGATAAATTATTCCCCCAAATGTCTATGCTTCCCTGTTGACCACAAAAAGACCAGTAAATGGTTAGTTCAGAGGCAGGTGTCTATATTACAGGCTGTCTACATGCAATTAGGCAAATACTAAACTGATTTTTCTGTGAAGCTGCTCTCACAATGGCTGTTGAAATGCTTTACAAGGATTTTGATTTCTGTATCGTGAGTGTATAAAATAACATATTTTTCTTCTTCTTTTGCAGTCTTTATTTTTGAGAAGCATTACGTTAGCAGGGCCTGCCTGTTTTGTTGGAGTTGATCATGTTGGTGCTCTGTTCAGATTGTTTTCAGCTGACTACTGAGAAATTGGCATTTTTTTTCAGTATTTCACTCTGTGACATTCACCAAATCATAGAATGGTTTGGGTTGGAAACGACCTTCTTTGGGCAAC